ACTACTTGGAAAATGCTTGTGACTTTTCTATAGTTTTCAAATTTTAAAACCGAACCTGTAAACCACAATGAGATAGCACTTCACACCCACTAGAATGGCTATGGTAAAAAAAAAATGTACAGTAACCAGTCTTGGTGAGGATGTGGAGAAACTGAATCCCTTATACACTGCTGGTGGGAAAATAAAATGGTGCAGTTACCCTAAAAAACAGTTTGGTAGCACCTTAAAAGGTTAAACATAGAGTTGTCATATGATTCAGCAATTCCACTCCCAGGTAGATAATGAAGAGAATTGAAACCATATGTCTATGAAGAACTTGTACACAAATGCTCACAGCAGCATTATTGATAACAGCTAAAAGTGGAAATAACCCAAATGTCCCTCAACTGATGAATGGATCAACAAAATGTGGTATATCCACACAGCGGAATATTATTCAGCAATAAAAAGGAGTGGAGAACTGATACATGATAATGTACCCAGTGGGTACATCGATGGCAAGGATAAACCTTGAAAACATTATGCTCAGTGACAGGAGCCAGACACAAAAGGCCACATATTGTAAGATTCCATTAAAATGAATTATCCAGAACAGGCAAATCTATAGAGACAGAAGGTAGATTAGTGGTTGCCTGGGGTTAAGGAGATGGGGCAATGAGGAGTGACTGCCAATGGATATGGGGTTTCTTCTTGAGGTGATGAAAATGTTCTGGAATTAGACAGTGGTGATGGTCATACAACTTTGTGAAGCATTAAAAACCACTAGATTGTTCACTTTAACAGGGTGAGTTTTATGGTATGTGAATTATATCTCAATTAAAAAAAGAACCTGTGTAAGACACTCATATATAAAATTAAAACATTACAAAAATACATAGAAATGAAACTTTCTCAATATTCTCTCTCTCTAACTTTGCCTCCTATTTTTATCTCATTTTCTTTACTGGCTTTATTATTTATAATATCTTTATTTATGAAGTAAACTAGGACTTTGTTATGCATACTGTTTTTGTTACTTTTTTCACTTAATAGGACACGTTCATTTTTTCATCATTGGAGGTAAGAAGAAATTCCCCAAGTTGACTTTTTAAGTAACACAGCAAACCCAGAAGTCATAATGAAAAAGACTGATAACTTGATTACATAAAACTTAAATTTTTCTATACGGAAAGAGATACTATAAATAAAAAAACAGACTAGGAGAAAATATGGTCAATGTTTACAAGAAAGGGTTAACAGTCCTATATTTAAGATTAAGTTTCCTATAAATTGATTAAAGTCAAACAACACAAAAGAAAAATGGGCAAAGATGTAAACTGGCTAGTTACAGGAAAGGAAATATAAATGGCAAATATACAGAAGAAAAGATGTCAACCTCATTAGTAGTCATCATTTTTGGCCCATCAGATGGGCAAAAATCAAAAGGACTGGGAACAACTGGTACTAACTAGTAGGAACAGGGGGAAATGGACTCTCATAAATTGTTGAGGATATGTGAATTGCTACAACCTTTTTGGAAAGTAGTAAGGCAGTTATTTAACACGTTAGCATAATCTTGAACCCATTTAGGGGGCTCTGGCCCACAAAAACAAAAGCACCACTGCTAAATGTGTTCCCAAGAATGATTACTGCAGCCATGTTTATTAGCAGGAAGAAATGGAAGCAACTGGAATGGCTGTTGATAGTTGATAGCTGAACAAACTGTGACACGGGACCCGTGGATATTAAAGAAGCAGCCGTGAGCCCTACATGATTGACTTAGAGGCATGGGCACAGCAGATAGCTACGGGGAAAAAAGCTAGTTGCTGAGTAATTATACAGTAAATGCCTTCACAATAAAACCCAAACCCCCAGAGATGTGAATAGATGTTTGCATACTGTTGTAGGCACAGAGAAAGCCTGTTACATTTGGTATGTCAGGGGATAGGTATGCTGTGTTTGATTACTTAAAAAAAGAAAGTAATTTTAGAAAGCTGATGGTTGATAAAGGACAATACTGTGCTCCTTGAAGCTTTCTTCAAAGCTGGGGAATAGTTAAAAAGGATGAGAGAAGTCAATGTTGAGATGGGAGAGTTAACGGGGTATAACGAGAACATTTTACAGATAACTAGAACATCTTATAGGTACACTAACACTTTGCTCCTGACCTAACATTTTGGCTCCCTACAGAGGTGGAGGAAGACGCAGTGGGAAGGAGCGTGGGCTCGTCAGTCGGAAGTGATGGGCTGGTGGCTTGCCAGGGGTGAGAACTCTTTCTTTGGTTTCTGACTCTGGTGTCTCCTTGGGGTTTGCTTGGAAGAGAAGTCACCTGGACCTTATACCAGAGCAGACTGGGGCAGAATGAGCCCCATAGATGTTGCTTCTTCTGGATCAGTTCAGGAAAACAAGTTATGATTCATCTTGTGAAGGATTTGCCTTCAAGGTTATAACTGAGGACAACCCTTCCACCAGGGTCAAAGTAACTCTTGAAAGCAAGTTATTAACTCAAAGAGGAGCAGTCAGGTCGAGTCCCTGAGACAGTTCTTTTTAAAAATTTTATTTATTTATTGTTTTGCTGAGGATGATTAGCCCTGAGCTAACATCTGTGCCAGTCTTCCTCTATTTTGTATGTGGGTCGTCACCGCAACATGGCCACTGACAAGTGGTGTAGGTCTGCACCCAGGAGTGGAACCCAGGCCACTGAAGTGGAGCACGCCAAACTTAACCACTAGGCCATGGCGCCAGCCCCTGAGACAATTCTTGGAAAACCTAATCTCTTCTACTAGGAACACTAAAATGTCAAATTGGGAACAACCTTAGGTTTATTACAACAATCTTGCCCAAAATGTACTACCAAGAGGGGCTAAGCGTGATTCCTGAAAAGGTGGAGAGCTTTGCTAAATGTCTCTTCTTTCACTTTTTAGAAATGAAAAGAAGACTTTTCTTTTTGAAAAGTAAAAATAAAAATATTTTTTAAAGCAGTGGTATTTTTTGAGGGGAATGAGTTCTGTTCATGACTATTTTACGGGTTGAATGAGTCCTCCTTTTAACTGTTTCACTTAGAAAAAGTTCTAAGGTAGACAAGTGACATAGCCTGAACGCAGGAAAAACACATGCGCTCTTGTTGGTGGCATTTAGTTCCAAGAAGTGACTTTAAGCTCTCTTTTGGGATGTTAGAGAAACAAAAGGAGAATTATCTGAAACTGACAGTTCCTTGAACGTATGTTCCTTGAACATACGCAAATGTCATAAAAACACAACCCCTTTAGCGAAATTGTGGGGCTCCTCTTAAGGGAGAGACAGAAAAACAAAGACTCGGAGACATTTGTCCTTTTCTTGAGACACCAATCCTTGGCAAGACACACCATTATGCAGATGAACTGGACCAGTGACTAGGCTTCTCCATCAGGGATGCTCATGAACACGTTCAGGCAAAAAAAGAAAACCTCACAATAGTTGTGATCAGAGCGAAAGAAAAGAGTAAGGAAGGAGAGAGCACAACCTTTTACTGTTTTCACAAAACCTCAATCCTCTCAGGGCAGGGACACAGATGTGACTCTGGCTTGTGGCATTGGGCACAACCCTCCACCCCAAACCAGAGGGGATATGGTGTATTCAATAGTTCCCATTCAAATTTCCTTTATAATGTCTTTTAGCTAAATTAAATCCTTTCAGTATGTTTCTGTATTTCTCCATTTTTGCCAGGCAGTACAGAAGAGCTAGCTAGCAAGGAGGAGGAAGTGACCATGGGGCATTTCTGCAGCTGGCACAGGGAGCTTTGGAATCTATTTTCAAAACATGCCCAAACTAAAACCTCATGTGCTTCTTGCCAGTCTTGCAGAGGATGAATAAACCGCACGTGGCTCTGTGCAAAGCCACCTCACCCCACGTGGCATTTCTGCTGTCTGGTTGGGTTAACATCCCTGCTTTACTGGAGGCTAACATTCAGGGAGCTCAGATGCACTGAGGGACTGGCTTAATGCAGACCACGCTTCAGTTCCTCCTGTGTTTTTTGGGTAAGCACCTCTGAGGAGGGACCTCACCATGGGTTTGCTCACTCCTGCTCCTGACGCAGGTCTGAGACACAGGTGACAGTCTCAAGTTGGTTCCTCATCAATCAGCAAGACGGTGCCAGATCACGACACAGACTCCCTCAGACCTTTCCAGGTGCCTCTCATGTCACAGGGGGAGGGTGGAACACACGGGGCATCCATTCTTTTCTCTCCTTAGCCATGTGAGTCTTGCTCACAATGTGGCTGGTGTTGCTCCTGCCCCCTCTCCCAGCATTGGTAAGACACGGATGGAGCCTTTGGGAATTTTTATCTATAAAGCACTTTACTCTCAGGGTGGACAGAAACCGCTATGCAAACCCACTACTCCTCAAAATGAATTTGCACTGTTTGTGGGGAGCTTGGGAAATGATACATCATGCAGTTACGTGTGACTGACTAAGGTGCCTCTGCAGTGACCCTGGGACCAGGATGGATGGTGAGCTGTCCATCATCTGCATCGCACTGGACAAGGGATGGCCCCAGGGTCTCCTGTTGACAAGGAAAACTTAGAGGGTGCTGGGAGAGCACCTGTTTAGTCTGGGGCTATCTACTGTCAATCAATCAATTTTGAATTGATTCTACATTTTCCTTCACGCTGAAGGGGCGAGGAGCAAGGATGAGGGTGATGACTCCTTTCAAAGCAGATGGAGGAGAAAGAGGACGGGGTTGGGGGCGGATCTGAGGTACCTGAGCATTTCATGCATTAGACTTACTTTTTTCACTAAGCAGCTTCCCTCTGCTTGTTGAGCATCGAAATCTAGATCAAATATCATGTGCCTTCTAGGACGAAAGTGGTTAATTTGGAATCACCTTGAAGCATCCTGCCTCCATGGCTGGGGGAGGCAGTCTGTTCCTGTAACCTTTAATCTTGGCAAATGAGAACAGATTAGGAGTGGTAGGGGGAAGGGAGAGTCCAGATAAAGGACTGAGAGAGTGGGTCACATGCTTGAATTTATGTGGGTTCCCTACCTCCTGGCCCCTGTCCTGCACAGGACACGACTCACTGTCTGCTTCCGAGAACGATCCGGATTCGTCGCTGGAGTTGGTTCCGTAAGACTGCTCACATTTAATTTGGGGTCGAACTTGGTTGTACATTCCATCTGCCATCAGGCCTGGTTCCTGATGTTCTGTGGCAAGGAATCTGGCTCCCTGGGAGCAGGGCGAGGAGGAGAACTCACAGAGAGGGAGGCTGCAGGGCGAGCCCCCGCTGCCGTCCTCTGCGTAAGAATAGGAGGAGCAGGAGCTGGAAGTCCTGGTCCTGGTCTCCAAGGGGGGCGAGCGAGGGCAGACTTTGATTGGCACCGGGCAGCTAGTGTTGGGCCGCATCCTTCCTGGCAAGTGGTCAGCCATCAGCCCACCGTGGGGGTAGGCCTGTGAGCTGGGGAGGGTCTGGCCAGCCCCCACCCACAGACCCTTTGGCACCGGCTCAGAGAGGTCTTTGTCCAAACTGCTTACCCCAGAATACGAATGCACTGAAGTGCTCACTTGGTCACAAGTACTCGAGGAGAAGATCACACTTCTCCGGTCCAGCTCTCCTTCCTGTTTACAGAGAGCCTCCAACCCAGGCCCCTTGAGGGGCGACCCCATGGTGAAGTTGGACGAGTCCTTCTGGCCCATGTGGGGCTGTCCATAATTCCCCGGAAAAGGGGCGTAGTCACTTTTAAGGTCACCCTGAGTGATGCCCTTGTCAAAAGGGCACGCTGAACTCCTGGCAAAGTGCTGCTGAGATGTACCGGGCAGGCCAGACAACTCCACACTTTTTGTTATGCTGAACAGAGACCTTAGACAGGAGGGAGAGGACACGCTCCGGGCTCTCTCCAGGCAGGCGGGCCCGGCAGGCGGGGCGGGGTCAGGGGCGGGGCTGGGCTGTTTCCGGTCCATTTCGACATCCCCCGGTCTGTCCTTGACGTCAGGCTCATCTCCGGACAGGCAGAGCGTGATGCTCTCTTCCTCGTTCTCTTCACTGGGTGGCTCACTTTTAATCTGCCCCATGGCAAGCCCCGGCTTGAGGCTGCTGCCAGAGTTATCTTCACTGAATGTGCTTGCAAAACCTGAGGTACTGTGTGATGATGCATTGTAGACATTCTTGGTACATGCAAGCTGGTATTTCTTGTATCTGGGGTACTGCGTTAACGCGTTCTTTTCGGAGCTCTCCTTGGTGTCCGTCGGCACGTCGGACTCGGGCAGCAAAACTTCTTCCTTTTCCGCTACTGGGATGGCAGCAGCCTCAAAGCTGATGGGGTCTGGAAGCATCTGGTCCCTGGGGCAAGCCATCTTGGCAGTCTCTGAATCCATCCTCTCCTCCTCTTCCTCCTCTTCCTCTCCCGCGGAGTTCTCATGGTCCTCGTGTGGGCGCTGGCACGCAGTGTCCTTGCGGCACACAAACAGGCCATCCTCGCTGTTCAGGAGCTGGGTCTGCAGGAAGCTGAAGCAGGAGTCCTCCAGGTTGTGCATGCGCAGGAACTCGGCACAGCGGATGACCTCGCGGATGTTTTCTCTGCTGAGTAACAGCTTGGCGGTGTAGGCAAACTGTAACAGCGGCCCAAAGCCCCTGGCTGTGACCTGCAAAAAAAACAGGGAAATTGCCGACGTTACCATCAGCGCCGCTATTGTCCTGAATCCCTCAACTGAAGCAAGATAACCAGACAGTGCTAATGTCCCAGAATAAAGACTGCAAAGGAGCAGTTAATCTTGTCCTGGGTCAGCAATGATCCCGCTTCCCATAATTAGTGCCTGTCTCGTGCATGCCACTGCTGTACCTCATCACGGTACAGAGAATTGAAAATCACCAGGGTCAAGTGGCTAAACAAGATGACAACGGGTTCAGTGTTTACACTAATGAAATATCCTGGCAAAAAAGCACAGTAACAATGGGAAGCCTATTAATTTTCCTCACAATCAGTCCTGTTGAGAGCCATTCTTACATAAGGAGTGCTGTGACACTTCTCATCGCTCACTCGAGCCAAAGAAAGCATTATGGTTTTCTTGTCAACCGAAAAACTGGCAATGTGGCCCTGTTAAAAACTGAAAGTCCACAGGGTTTCAAAAATAGTTTTTCTTCACTTACAAATTAAAAAAGAGACATTAAAGGCAATTCCTGTTTTGCTCATTCATCATGGTTTCTAGTTGGGACTTTTCAGTCATCATGTCATACCTGATCTTACAGTGCTAACAGAGACGATGACAATCCAAAGCAGTGCTCTTGACCAGAAATTAACTCCCGGCCCATGAAGAATGGGGGTTCTACAGAGCTAAACAAACCAGCTGTCATTTAAATGGTTGAGGCTGCTGAGTGGCACAGGACATGGGCTCTTCCTTCCCTAATTATTAGCAGCAGCTCTGCGAGGTAACTGCCTTCTTTCCTGGGTAATCTTCAGGCGGCTAAGCCTACTGTCATGTGCTGCTCATCATTACATTTTACACAGACTGAAAATGTGCTATTTATGCACAGCTTGTGTGTACATGCGCATGCACACACATGCACACACACAGAATGACTTAGACAATTAGAAATAAGTTGCCCAAGGCCAATTGTTTTTTTTAGATGGAACTGGGTTAAACTTGCTGGTGTTCAGGGCAGGCTTCCTTATCTTATACGCAAAATCACTCATCCTCTAGGTTCTTGCAAGCACTGCTGACCCCATAGGAAGGGGAGGCGGGTCTATGAATCATGGATACAAATCAAATGAAAGCCTCAATCCTGGGGTCCTTGCTGGAAGCTATAGTAGCAGTGATAAAAAAAAAATATCTGCTAGAGGAGAAAGCACAGAGCAAGACAACACGGCAAGCTTTGTAGCTGACTTCCACATGTTTTACACTCACTGCAGCTCACAGAGCCAGAACTCTCACGAGGACTTATATCCGTTGTTCAAGATTCAACTTGGACATCAACTCCTCTGGGAGCCCTCTGCAAACCTCTTAGAGAGATGAGTGACACCATCCTCTCAGCCCCCATAGCCACAGTGAGGAAATGTCCTGGATTATCCAGGGCAGCACTCATTTTATATTGCTGCATTCTTTCCATGAAGGGAAATTTCTTAGATACATAACTGAATGGGATTATTATTTCTTTTTTGAGGAAGATTAGCCTTGAGCTAACATCAGCTGCCAATCCTCCTCTTTTTGCTGAGGAAGACTGGCCCTGAGCTAACATCCGTGCCCATCTTCCTCCACTTTATATGTGGGACACCTACCACAGCATGGCTTGACAAGTGGTGCCATGTCCGTACCTGGGATCTGAACCTGCGAACCCTGGGCCACCGGAGCGGAACGTGCGCACTTAACCGCTGTTCCACTTGGTCGGCCCACTGAATGGGATTTTTATTGTTAAAATTTTTGAAGTACTTTAAATAAAATTCCAAACGAAAAAAAATTCCCTGTCAGATAATGAGTCTCGAGATATTCAGTTAAAAAAAACCCACCCACAACAAAAAACGTGACTGTTAGACCCACTTTACAGTTCTAGAAGGGCAATCATTGCCATTTCACTTTTATTATACTTCATTATGTCTGTTTCCACCATAAGATAGCAAGCTCCTTCAGATCAGGGATGGCTTCATTTCTCTTTGTAACCCTGCATCTAACTTAGTGTCTCTAACACCTGATAAAAGCTTGTATATTATCATAAATCTAACTGTGCCTCTAACATACAACTACAGTGTACAGAAGGTGACAACACAGTCTGTTTGGTGAGTGTTGTCTCAGATTATTTTTGGAGCAAGGCATTGTGTAAGCCAACAAACCAAATCAATCAACCAATCAAAGGTAGGCAAGAGTCCTTATTTGTCCTGTCCCCTAGTACCAGTACTGAAAAGGAGCTCACCTGACCTACACTTTTGTGTTCTACTAAGCTGAGACGGTAATAGATGCAGCAAAGGCAGTATCTACTATATCTGTTTTATGTACTTTCCTCCCAGGAACCTTTAAAAGGGAGTGTAAGGCAAGGAAGTGTGTAATTATAAGAAACCAAAGAAGGTGATGAGAATGTCACACAACCCACTTCTTCATTGTAACATGGCTCCATTACAAAGAGAGAAATGGCAGAATCAAGGCAGACCCGACCCCTCCATAAGTAAGCATCTTCCACTCCGCTCCTAGGCAATCTGCCAGTTGCTGAGTGGATGATACACATCTTGAATTTTGGCAGATGTGCTCACCATATGGGAAATGGGGGAAACTCACGCAATGTTATTTATGTCTTTTATACATTCTTCCTCATCCTTATCACCATTTCTTTTTAATTTTGATGCTGTTGGTCTCAATCACTCCCTATTCTGGCTGCTTGTTTTTTTTTTTTTTTTGCTAGAAAACCTTCTTCCTGAGCTAACATCTGTTGCCAATCTTCCTCTCTCTTTTTTGTTTCCTCCCCAAAGCCTCAGTACATAGTTGTATATTCCAGTTGTAGGTCCTTCCAGTTCTTCTATGTGAGCCACCACCACAGCATGGCTACTGACAGATGAGTGGTGTGGTTCTGTGCTCTGGAACCAAACCTGGGCTGCCAAAGGGGAGCGCACCGAACTTTAACCACTAGGCCATCAGGGCTGGCTCTGCTATGGCTGCTTTTAAAGAAAATTCCTAAGGAAGCCAGAAACCTCCAGGGATCAGTCATTAGATTACCCATTAAATCAGTCCTGGGTGTTGCCACTTGCCACATGGCTGGAAGCAGCTGGAAAAAGCGTCCCCACTCAGGCAAGAGCTGACGTGTAAATGTAAGAGTTGCACTGAGGATACCAACAAAGTCTCCACATCCCAAATCAGATCACCCATCCTTTTGGGCTTAGGAGACATGATGAACTTGAAATGACTGTCAAATGGTCATGAAAGAGTCATAAATAAAAATAGGGTTGTAAATTGTCATTCAAGCCCAAGGTCAGAGGAAACGGCGTCCTCATCATGAACTTTCACGAGTCCATAACTAGCTCTTCCTCCACATGTGTTTAAACCCTGCTTTGGCATATTCAGCTCTGCTCATTTCCTCAGCTTCTATGTGCAGGGCTTTGTCTAGTGAGTCAGAGTTATTACCACTCACCAAGCACCTCCTAGTGCCCAGCACTGTGCTAGCTGGCTCTCATAATGCCCTGCAAGGCAGGCACGACTGCCTCTACTGGGAGACAAGGAAACTGAGAAGCAGGGAAGTGAAGAAATTCGTCTAAGGTCATAGAGCTGGGATTCCAATCCAAGGGCTGTGAAGAATGGATAAGTACAAGACAGCTCTGTCCTCAAGAAACCTACAATTTAACCTTGTAGAAGAGGTATAAACAATGAAAAGGTAATTATTAAGCGACAGTGCAGGTCAATGACGGAAGAGCTGTTACAAGAGTGCATGGTTAGTGTCAACTGAGAACTCCAGGCAAGTTCAGGAGAGGAGACTGCTGGGGTCTGTGGGGACCCCTTGAACACTTGGAAGCACCTGGAGTGCAATGAATTCCCCTGTCTAGGTCTGCTCTGGGTCAAAGGCTGCTCTGTACAGTGGCTACCTCCTGAGCTGCTGCAGGTGTCCCTCCCAGGACCCCATCTCTGGTGCACTTCAGGCGTGTTCTAATAGCCCCAAATACACCAAACAGGAAGCAAGTGCCCATGACACCGCAGGCCAGTGTTCAAACAGGCAGAGGCTTCCTAAATACTGGTTTAGCCCCTATCTGGAGTAGCTTGCACTGTCTTTCCATTTTTAGGAGTCGTTTAAACTTACTCATTATGCTCAGAAAGCAAATATCTAGGTACTAACATGAAGCTGTATGTTTACGAAACTGTGACCAAAGTCTGCACTGTTATTTACTTTTTGTTTTTAACAAGTAACACTCTGATAATGGGAAAAAATAAGAGGGGATGGGAGGTGGAGAATCTCCCACAAAACTAATGACCCATAAAAATGTTATTTAAAAAGGTAATGATCATAAAGTTAAAGCGGAATGAAGTGACTAGAAATAGCAAACCAGTCCCAGCTCTCTGATGTTAATGGAGCTGCGTTTCACTGCCCTAAGGGAAGCAGACATATGTAGGCTAAAACCCACTGGTCAAGAATGGCCTAAAGGTATGACAAACAAATGCAAAATACAACATTGGGGACACCTGGGATAACAGTCTTGCATTTTGAATGAAATATTTGGGATGGATCATTCTGAAGAGTACTGTTTCATCATGCTTACATATGTAATGACCTGGTTCCATAAAGTGCAACACACACTGTGCTATTGATGAGACTCGATCACACACTGGGGGCAGAATGGAGGGTGCCAGTGGGGCTAAGACCTGGGAGAGGTCAAAAGTACTCCCTCTTGCTCTCTGGTTGCTCCAAAGGAGGCAATGACCTCATTCAGCCGTTGATACACACAAGAAAAGTGGCCCTGACCTTTAGGTTTCACGTCTACAAGAAATCAGGTCAGACTACCAAACTCGTGTGCCATGGTGTAAGTCCACATGCTAATAACGTGTTGAAAATTTGACCTACTGAAACTGTGACCCTTAACCCTTTGTTCCCTTGCGTTCTGATGTATTATCTCCATGCTGTTGACGAAGGGAAGATGAACTGATGAAAACTCAATGTGCAGAGGGCATGTTTGCGT